TGGCTCATTTATTTTAGTATTCATTGCAAAGTTCTTTTGTTTTGCGTTTATTGTTCTGAAGTACATTCAGTTTCTTTAATAGTGTCATTGCGCATTGAGTTTGAATACAAATATCTCTTGTCTGTTGGACATATGGTAACATAAATTTGTAACTTGCTTGCTCTAGCCTACGAGGTCTGCGTTCGGAAAAGGTTTAATAGTATACGGACCTGTTACGTATACCTTACGGTGGTAGGGCCACACAATAGTGTTCACTGTTGCACGAATGAGCAGCTCCGTCCGGGTTAGTACCACGACCTCACAGAAGACTGGCGTACAGTAGAAGTGTCATACTTCTGCGTTTAGTCTGGTGAGTGAGGTAGCCGGAGCCCATTTAAAGGTGGCAACGCATTCGCAACCTTACGGGTGTTGCCAAATTGCATGGGCGGGGATTATCACTTAACATCAGGTGAACCGCCAGCTCGTTTGCCACTTTCTCACATAAAAAAAAACGGAATGAAAGCAAAAACATCGGTTAAAGTACAAGTAGCGCATGGATCATGATGATCGTAGTGAAACTTAATAATATTATCTAGTTATTGCGCTGTTAGTCTTTAAAGACGTTAGAGTTTCATGATGAAGGTAGTTACTTGAATCACTTATGATTATAAATTATAGATTTAGTTCTGGGATGAGAATAATATGATATTTTGATAGAGTTCCTAAGCTATTTTTAATTGCTTAGCAATTATATTAATATAATCCGTAGATAAAAGCAGTGTAGCTTTGTTAAATGAAACTGTATTACGGCTTTATCGCGTTTAATTGGATTAAATTGATTGGTGTGTCGTTTACTTTAGTGGGCCTACTCATATTAAAGTGGCATTTTGGTCCGTTTTGATCCATTGGATTAAAAAGCTACGAATATTGGAGATGATGTGATTAATTTTTTTATTGTAATAACTTCAATTATGGATAACTAGCTGATGCTAGCGACTTCGTCTCCACAGTATTACTTCGAGTAACTTATATTCTTCTCGAATGTCCTTTCTATGTTTATACCAAAATTCATCAAAATTGATTATAGGGTTTAGTCGTAAAGGCGTAACAGACAAACAGATTTACTTTGAGAGACCCTTACATCTTTATAAATTATAGCATATTTGTTCTTCTGATGAATGAGACATATTATTGTAAAGTACATTAAAATCCATTCCGTGGTTTTTGTGTGAAAGAGTAACAAACATTCATACATCCATACATACAAACTTTCGCGTTTATAATATTAGTAAGGATTATTGCAATTAAAATTCACGAAAGAGGCATTGGGTGCACGCTCAAAGAAATATAATCAATATTTTATACGCTTGTTCTTGAAAATATATTCTGTAAGATTAATTTAAGATTCCACACCGTTACATGTTGAAATGCGAAAACGGTATCGATCCATGTATTTTTAAATTTTTTAATATTTAAAAAAAACATTATTAACATTAATTAAAATTCGTTGCGCTGGAGTGAAGATTAAAATTCAAAACTTAAATTATATAATGTTTTGCTCTTGACGTGATATTTGACTATAACATATTGCATTGGTGCCTTGTTTTAAAAGATCTAGGATATAACTTGTAAGGAGGATTTGTTCCTTAATTAAACTCACACATGCAGAGCGATACCCGTTTACATGATATTATGATTGAATGATTGCCTGCGGTCGTTGACCTTGCATTGCGAGCGCGGGAGTGGTTTGTCAACAATATCGAATGTTTTGTCTTAGCGACTAGTCAATCTCTTGTTGATGTAAGTTTGCTTTTACGCAATTGTAATTACGTTTTTAGCTAATATTACTTATAATATTGTAAGAATGTAACAAATCTATTTTTATTATTACATTGAGTACCTTATTTAATTTTAATATTTATTATGACCTTGGCCGCAAATATGATAAAAATCGTTTTAAATTGATCGATAAAGGCGCATACAAAGAGTCAGACCATCTCAATTAACTTCATCTAAAATTGGAATTAAAATGAACTGTGTTTTAATTGTCCTATTCCATTTCGTTGCTTATTTTTAAATATTAATTCTAGTTTTATGTGATTTGGTTTTTAGGATTGTCTGTTAGCATACGTACGGTAACTATTAGCTAAAACACTAGCACCCAGTTTCCGAAAGCGCAATCAATTTTAATTTACGATAAATCTTTTGTCAATCGCTGTTTAACACGATCTGAGTTGCTAGAACGTCTTAAACAACATTGATTTTGATTTGCAATTAGTCACTGATTAACGGACAATCAACAGAAAATCGAGTTTCTGAAAGCGTTTTTCGGTCGTCAAAGAGCTGTCAAAAGTTTTATTAAGTAATCTGTCAATTTGGACGATCAATTGTTGGTTAAAAATGTTATTTATCAAAAATCTTAGTTTTTATTAAAAATAAACATAATTCCCTAATACGTTGTTAGGACATTCATGTGTTCTATTACCTATTTATTATTTATTATTATGCGAACATATCATGTGATTAGAAAAAATACAAAATGCAATTCAAAAGTTAATAAATAATATGGATTCTTTCTTTTTATAATACTTACTTGTTTATTATTGATAAAAGATCATTTTTTTCTCGTTCTGTAAAGTTTTTTTTTTTTGACATATTGCATGTATCTATATAAATTAAATTTTATTATAGCTCGGATTTTTACATTGGCAATCACACGGTGACAGGACTGGATAGTGACGTTAATTTAAGTTTTGTTAAAAAGGGAGAGCTATACAATAGAAAGAGTTAGTTGAAGTAAATCATTCATTTCATTCATTATCATTGGTTATACAGTGATTAGCTAATTTTTCTTGAACAAACCTTCCAGAAACCCAAGGGAGTTTAATAACAGCTGATCATTTTTGACATAGTGTTATGTGATTGCTGCTTTGATTGGCCTTTCGGAAACTGGGCATAGGTAACTTAACATCACTGCGCCGTCAGTAAGGGTTGTAAACATACTTACACCCGGTTTCTGAACCACTCATCATCGTAGATGTTAACTAATCAGCTGTCAATTTTATTTTAAAATGTCATTTGAGTTGCCGAAAGGATGGTTAAACTCTTTGAATTGATTGATCATACTGATCATTAAGTAGAATTCTGATCAATTCTGATCAGAGAGTTTAACCGTTATTTTAGCAATTTAAATAACATTTGAAAAGTCATTTGACAGCGGATTAGTTAACTTCTAAGATGATCAGTGTTTCAGAAACCGGGCATTAGTGACGGAAGGTTAAAACTTGATGACGATTTTTAGATTAGAGTCTCGGTAACATTTCGATTTAGGTCTAAAATCATAGATAATTTATATATTGTATGGTGGATATCCCCCACCAAAGAGTTTATGGGCTTAATTTAAATAAGGCATGGTTTTGTATCAAATTGCTTATAAGTCTGGTCTTGTGACGTCGGCCTAGCGGGTTAGAATGTGTGAAACCAACGAGTTTTCCGTTTTTAGGATTCGTTATGAACATGACGCGGGAACAACATTTCTTTTATAAACAGAAATTATTTCAAGCTACTACTTTTATTTACATGTATACATATAAACTAATGTAGGTTTATTTATAATTTGTTTTAACAGAAACTTTAATTTGATTCAATTTCATACATTACTTGTTTCCAATAAGCATTTATGTTATGTGCGTAAGAGAACTTTGTAGGTTAAATAAATAAAAGTAAATTACATAACACACTTTAAGTTGCTACATACCCTTTTCTCTATAGACTTGACAATTTGAGAGGCATAATGTAGATGAATACATAACTTCACTTATTAAGTCGGGTAACAGCTGACAGGATGCAGGCGGTCAGCTGTGGACGCCATATTGTTTTTGCTGGGAACAATGTACAGAAAATATGTCCGGTATGCGTCCATGCGTGTAGTTTACTTTTTACAACACTCTTCTAGGATTCCTAGGACTGATCATAATATAAACATTTGTGAAATTATTAAAACCTTCGAGTTGCAAATTAGTGAGAATATAAAAAAAACATAGAGTGGCGGTAAATCTCATTATAGGCACTAACTCAAGCATCGGTTTCTAGTCAACTACAGAACATTCTATAACTTATATATATTTTTGAGCAGCATGTTGATGTTATTTGCATGTTGGTTTTATGTAGGTTCATTTACATATACTTAGGTTAAAACAAATTCTGACTAGGTTTAGTTGAATTAGATCCTGGGCTTGAAATACCGTAAATTCTTAAACTTTTTATTACTCTAAAAACTGAAATTATCTCCATCCCTGATGAAGAATAGGGTTGGTATTTTCACTTTTATTTCTTTAATTTATCCGCATTGTAGTTGACGTAAGATGCTGACATGTTTTAATAATTTTTGTTCTCCTGCTTTCACATAGGAACGCTGAGAAATTCCCAGGAAAAAAACCAGTCTGGTCCTGAATAAGCCTTTGAGTCCTAACAGTAGGTATATAAGGTATATCGTAAATGTGCGTTATTTCTTGTCATAGAGTTCAAAGTTAGTGTTTGTGTTGATTCACACATTGTAAGGTCACGTTTGTTTAATTTATTTATTGTTTTATTCTCATTAGTAGTTTTTGTAGGTGGCCTGAGAGACAATATTTTCAGTTATTATAAAGTTTTTGTTATTTTAAGTTCTGTAGAAGGTTGTAAAGGCGAATACCTAATTAGATAACAAAATTAGTTCACACTATGTCAGCTTTAGGTTCTATAGTTTTTATATTGCTAAACAAAAGTTCAATTTTTAGTTTAATTTCAAATTTTTCTTCCCAGTTTTATTCCTATCAACCATCTGGTGATAAAAGCGTTGGACTAAAAATAAAAAAAGATGGGACAAGAAAAACATTTTTCGTTTATTATTTCGTAAGGAAATATTAATTAAATCGTAATTTGAATCAAATTGATGTGAATAGAATCCTCGTTTCATGGATCTTGGGCAGGTCTAGTCATGTTATATACTTTTTCTTTGTAGTTTAAAACTGGAGATGTCAATGGCGGATGTGACGTCCGCGCGCAGTTCGCCCGCCCCCGAAGCGTGCCCAGAGTGCGATACTAGCGCCTCCGTTACTTCCGACTTGCATAAGGTATGTCTAACAACACTTTCAAAAGGCATCAGTCCCAAATATCTCTTTCGGACCTTAAACTTTAAATAAAAAAATAAAAAAAATATTTTATATATTTTTACTGTTGCTTTCAAAATGATGTTATTTTAATGCTAAATAAAGTTTTTAAAAATTAATAAAGTTTCATTCATATTTTTAGCCATATTCACATAGTATAGTATAGATACTCGGATTACTGGTAATATGTTGGTAAAATTCTGACGATAATTAAAAGAACCTGGCTAGGTATACTCATCGATTCACATGCCACACACATGTGTATTATGATGTAAAGAACTGTTAGTTACACATACGTCATATGTTATATATAACAAATTGACTACATTACTTTGAAAAGAATCGCGTGGGCGAAGCTGCTGCCAAAGCTAATGAATGGGAGGATGTTTAAAAGAATGTGTGACAATTTTACAGTACCAAGTGGCGTGCACATGCAAACCGTCGACCGCTCAGTACGCATGCGCTGATGACCCCGGCCCCCCGCCCCCGGCGAAAACGGACACCCCCCCGGCTCTGCCACCGCGTCCACCCACCAGCGTCCTGGCTGCCACGAACCGACGGAACAATGGTTTGTCGACTCTATTACCAATGAAGATGGTTGCAAATTAAATACGAATGTATGTTTATAGACTGTTTTTAATCTAAGTATGGACCTGTGCCTACTGCTTTGTGACTCTATTGCAAATTGTTAAAGTTGTAATTTGAATAAGACTGAACTTTGGATTCGTCCCCTCAGATTACAATTGAGTATTCTACTAAGTGCACGGAAGACAGTGATATGACTAGATAAACACTAATAGTCTTAGAATTTATATCAGGACCAATGCGCATGCTGCTTATGCGTTGTTTTTAATTTGTTTCACTTAAAAAACAATCCATATTAAGAATAAAAAGTGTTCTTTCTTTTATTTAACTTAAAAACGATTTTTAATGAGGAAAAACAGCAATAAATTTGGTGTAGTTAAATTATTCGCTGAAAAATTTAGCTGAGACAGATTAAACATAAAAACTTTGTGTGCAAGCGGTTTAATTAGATGTCTATCTTATATTTTTATCCATGTTTAAGTTTTGAAGTGACACGCGAGTATTATACGAGTATTATAAAGTTGCTTAATAACGTGGAAAGAGTATTACGTTATAAATATCATTATTATGTGTCACCTACCTTATAGCTATATTTTTATAACTATACTTTACAATATTACCTTACAGGATTTGTAGTACCTTACACAGAATGAAGTTACAATGGATAAGGCGATGCTTCGCCTTTACTGTGTGTCATTCGATTTTGATAACGCTAAAAATAACTTTGTCAAACCTTTAAGTAGAGTATCAATTTGTTTTTTAACAAGATACAAGATGGCTTAGTTATGTGAGTCATCTAATGGCTTAATTTAGAATATGTAACGATATCCGACGGTCTGCTCATACATATGAATTAAGTATTGGTTCTCGTACTATATTTCTTCCAGCGGGCTTTGAAATATTTTCATTTTAAAAACATTTTGATTATGTTGTATTGATTAGTTGGATCATGACTGTACTGTGTACTAATGAACACGTAATAAACCTAGTAGTTATCTAATAAATCTAGTCCACGTGGTATATTGACAAGAACGCTAACTGCATATCCTCGCTGAATACTTATTTTTGCTTAACCGTTGAGTGAGAAAAGAATCAGTCATTTTATCACCAGCCGCGGCGTTAAGCCTGGGACCTTTAAAACGTTTCGATGTACGGGGACCCCACGGACCCAAAGTTTCAACAGCTAAACAAAGAGACTCATTTGCGCCACTTATTTCAGCTGCGTCCGATACCGCCCTGGCTCTACCTCAGATGAGAGGCAGGTAGTGTCTACACAAATAGCATCCCAAACGAGGGCTTTGCCTCTGCCCAAGAGATCAAATCACTAACCATTGCTGCGTATAATGCCACAGGTCTCTAAAATATTTTAGACCCATGGTTGGTCAATCAATGTTGATGTCGTTCAGGGAACCGTAGCGGGAAAAGCGGCCAGCATTTTTTTGACAAGAAAGCCCGTGGAGACCATAATTATTTACATTGACACCACAAGACAAGACACAAGGTGTAACAAATCGGTGTCCCCTGATGGATTCCTACAGCAATGCTTAAGCTTTGATCGTCAAATATTATGCCCAAGATACTTGATGGAAAAGCGTGAAACCAATATCACTACATAGTATAAAACAAAGTCGTCCCGCTGTCAGTCAACGGATCTTGATGAGGTTTTTTTACTAGATAAAGTGATCCAAGAGGAAGGTTTATATGTGTAATATATTGTACCCGCGCGAAGCCGGGGCGGGTCGCTAGTAAATAATAATCGATTCTTTAGATGAAACTCTTAGAAAACCTGCATGCTCTAAATTACTATCTAAAGATTGAAAAATAGCTTTTGTTACTCTCTGCACCAAAGAAACATCCATTTATATGCTAAAATATTAAATATAAATTTCTATACTTTAAATATAGTACGGCAACAACAGTTTTGATAAAAGCTACCCCAATAGAATGACTTTATAGATTTGACGGGGAATTAAGTAATTATTTAAGCTTTTGCGTATTGTCTGGTTACGTCGTAGCCACAGCTGTGTGTGTGGACTGTGGTACCGGTTCCATGCAGCTGCCAGAGCCCAATATTCTTAGAGGTGCGCAACCTGCTATACTTATACTTTGAGTTGTAAGTGTTCGTGGGTATTACTTCCTAATCCCCCGCTCTGTGGCAATAAGCAACAAATAAAAAATGCTTCAAATACATTTAATCTTACTCAAAGATACTTGAAAGATACATGATCATGATATAACAATATCATAAAGTGAAATTGCATTTACAATTTCACTTACAGAAAAGTTTAGAACAAGTAGGAGAAATTCACTACCTGTCTTTATTATAATCGAGTTCGAACTATCTTCCAAGCGTCCAAATAAATTTTCATATTTATGAATTACAATACTTTATTGTTAAAAATGCTTTTTTTGTAATATATCACAGATCTATTCGTGACTTTTGAATATAACTGACACGCTGCTTATTTATGTTTTCCTCCCCTTTTTCTCAAACATTTGCACAATGAATCGGCCCATTTAGATATGTCCCGCAGAATCAATGCCATTGATACATTTCCATGCACATCGCATGCAGGTGTATGATAAAAAAAATAAAGACCCCATAGATAACAAACCAAATACAAGCTGGACAATAGTTCTTACTCGCAAGGGTTTCCTACCTGTATTCTCAAATTATGAATAGAGTAGGTACCTGATGCTTAAACATGTCACGGTGTAATTTCATATTGTGCGTTTCGTGGGAGTATGAATTCGACATAGCTACAATGTAGATTTATATGTGCGCGGCAAAATCCATAAGTCACCCTCAGATTGGTTTAATTTAAGACCTTTCTACCTGCAGCCCCATAAAGTTCGCATTGCTTCTGCGCGAGTTTGCCATTGTCAGAATACATAACCTAGTCGACACTCGTAAACGTAATATAATAAGGAATGTAACATACATTTGAACGCGAAGAATTAATTACATGTTTCAATAATGGTGTTTGGATATATGGTGTAGTGCCAGTTGCAGTGATATTTAAATCATATTTTTAGTAATTTAAAACATAAGACGGAAATAAAGAGGATCATTGTGAAACGTAATTATCCAGTTGCTGTTTACGGTGTTATAAAATGAAAAAAATCCGCTGATCGAAATTCTAATGAAAAATGAAGTGAGGGCAGTGTTTCTTATACATAAACAGGCGATTGTTTGTTACGCTCCAAAAGGTCATTGTTCTTTACGCTGTTTGTGAGTGTTGTAAATATCGATTGGACCGATGGCGCGCATTTCGAATGTCGCGTTTTGTATTTACGTTGCACTAAGAGTTGAGATTATCCTATTTCAATAAGAAGAAACATGTCGAACTATGATTGTGAAAAGGACTATCGGAATTTATTATTTGATTTATTCTTTCGGCAAATGTGTTGCGTGCAAATTGAGACATTAAAAAAATAAAGGATATGCAAATGTGCAGCATTATGCAAGTTTTACAATATCAAGTGTCAACCACACCTCAATCAACAATAGCAGCGGACGTGGCACAACATTACGTCCCACCGCCACCATATTTCGGTAAATAATAATAATTAAAATTATTCTTAATTAAAAATAAAGTGTCATATTTAATTTTAAATATAAAAGTTATAAGCCAAAAACGTAGTCCCTACCTTTTGACTGTACAACCTCTTAACAAAACTAATTAGAAAATTATTTAAAATTATTATTTTACGTGGTAAAACAGAAAAAAAAATATTTTAAGTTGTTAAATTATTTTAAGTGTTGTCCGTAATAAAATAATAAACAGTTATGGGACTTTTCAAAATTTTGTTAGGTACCCATTATTTTTTCGTTATTCATTGTGTTTTGACAAACATAAAATTTATTTACCATAAAGAAATAACAAGAATTGAGTAAATCTTTCATGCATTGATAGATTGCTAGCAAGTTATATCAACTTAGAAATATGCAAGTAATCACATTACAAAAATTTTGGCGCCATAACTGCGTTGCAACATTTATCACTAATACCTATATGTAAGAAATTTGAGAAAAAGTAATTTATTTGTCAATTTGTTTGAAATAATGTATGTAATAAATTCTTTTATTTAAAAGAATATCACACATTTGAATAAAACTGACTTACGGATTTTATAGCGAGCGGTTTTTTTTTATTTTGAACATCCGATGTTTCGAATGTTTTACAGTATTCTTTTGGTCACGGGCCAAAATCGGGGATAAAATCGTTAGTTACTTTTATTTCAATAATGTATGATAATAACTATGTCATAATATGTACGTTAATGTCGTATACAACAAACGACAATCTTACTGATATAGTAACAACGAAGAACAATATCTGGATAATGCAGATAGCTTTCGTTCCGAACAAGCCTATGAGATAACAGCGAGAAGCATCTTATATGTTTTAGTCTATTTTATTGCATGAACATTGATGAAATCATACCAATTATTTATGTAAACAATGGAGTTTTATTGATAAATTTCGTTTATTTATAGTTATTAGTTATTTAATTTTTAATGAGTTTGATACTATTACTATTGTACAAGTTACAAAACTTAAGAATAAAAAAAACCTATACACCAATGTAGAAATGAAAAAAAAAAAAAACAACATTTTATTCACTTCATATTTTGTTTCCAGCGTCGGTTGGATGCAACGGCAATGACAACTCCTGCCGGCGGAGGAAGTACGCCTGGTGGTGTGTGGGATGCGGAGCGCTGGCTGCGGCTCTGGGCGGTCTACTCGCGGCGCAGCACATCCTGTTGAGGGCATACACCGCCTCACCCCAGCATTTGGAAACGGTGCCGGCAGCCGTGCCAGCTGCTATGGTAAGTTGCATAGTGCTTTCGAGTAGTGACCTCCCACCGTTGGTTGAAACCGCCAACTATTGTCTGTACCAACATGTATGTCGTGTTAGATATCTTCGCCGTATAGGTTCGAGTCGTTTTACCCCTATTTTAAAATAAGATGTTCCTAATTTAGACAGGCTTTGACTTAAACATCGTGTCTAGCAATATCAGTATTCAATAATTATTCCCAATTTTTATTCCAAGATTGGCAACGACATCACGTGAATTACAAACATGCAGTTGAGGTTAAACTTGAAATTTACAAAACAATGAAAGACGTGTGTGATTTGCGTTTTAATAATTGTTGTTGACGATGTAACAATTGTTTTAGTTGGTGCTGACGGGCGTATGCATAATGAGCTTGGCACGGCGGAGGAACCGGTACAGCTATATGGTAAGAAAAGTATGTGCCTTCGAACTTTCTTTTTAATAAAAGTACTATTTTTACGCGTAAGATATCCGTTTAACAAAATAACTATTTACCTTCTTTCGTTTATGGCATTGAGATCTTCAAAGCTCACAACGTTGAAAAAATTCATAGTGGGGGCTAGTAATCTGATCTTAATTAGAGTTTAGTTAAATATTCTTTATTACAAATATGGCTTTTCCAATTAGTAATTAAATGTAATTATATGGACGCTATTTAATTAAAAGGTTTTCTGTTATTCAGTATGAAGAAAACATCTTCACTTTTATCACGAGTTCAGTAGGAAAAAGCATTGCAACCGATGTAAGAAAAAGCAGAGTAGAGATAAATAGTTTTATGAGTAGTCTTATTTTAAGATTAAAGATAATTAATTTAAAATATTTTTTTTTATTCTTATTATTTAATTAGATAAAAGTGGTCGGCGCTTGCTGCCTGGTCTGTGCGTTGACTTGCGTGTTGGTCACCATCACAACGACTGTCATTCACATGAACAAGTGAGTTCCGTACTGTTTATAAAAACTAATTTATTAGACTAAAGGTGAACCGTTGTGTATCTTTGCTCACATGTTTCAATAATGGTTTGGCTTTAAATTGTTCATCAATCCATTTCTTAGTTTTAATGTTTTTACATTGTATTTGTTACATAGAAGCTTCTGCTGTTACGTAAAAAATACAATGGCAGGTTCGTCTCACTGAAGACCGGCGTGAAGTGGAAGTATAACACTTGGTCGTTTCTGGCGAGTGAGGCCCATATTTTTATGTAGTTGGTAACACTTCCACAACCCGTCGGGTGTAGCTGTCCATAGGTGGCGCTATTCTCTTAGCATCAGGTGAATCTACTGCTCGCTTGCCAACTTATCACATCACTTCATAGTATAAAATTTATAGTTTTTTTTACAAGATAGAGTGATTTAATAGGAAGGTGTATACTTATAATACATTGAGACCGTGCGAAGCGGGGCGGGTAGCTAGTAAAAAAATAAGTTAATATTTAGCAGCATGTAAGTTGCACACGATCCCCAAGCCTTTTAATGTTTGAAATGATTGTGATGTAATACTTTGCTTACAGGTTGCAGACATTGAAGTTTTGCGAGTACACGAAACTGACTCGCACTTGCACATGTTATTCCATGTCCACTGACTCTCAACACAGCGGATCGGATGAAGATGGTGCGTATCATAAAACCGAGTAGCTATTTTTTGTTATGTGTAATTGATATCCATCCTATACCACCATATACAACTATCGGTACATAGATTATATAAAGCTTTACCGTGATCTGATGTCAGGGAAAGCCTATAGGTACCAGGAGCTTCATAGACCCTAAAGAAGCAGAGTCTCGCACGTGGGCATGCGTACGTTAAATAATTGAAGGGATTGGCCTAAGGACTGTCTAGGTTTTAGCACCTTGATATCGGCGAAGTGACTGTTTTATGAATAACTAATGGCTGGGAGCGGTGGAAACTGCTCAGGGATTATAAATTAAATGTTACCTATCTTAACCGCAAACAAAACTAGTCGAAACCTAATTGAAATTTTGGTGGGGAAAGGTGAACCGCCGAGATTTGTATGACTGAAAGCATCTTGTTATTCTGTTATATTGTAAAATAATACATTTTCCTTTGAAATAAAGAGTTACATAAATTGGTTATTTTTCGTTTTAGATAAATAGAAAGAGTTATAGTTTCAATATTTTTTCTTTCTTTAGACTTGCAGTTTATGCACCGATGTTTGTCCTCCTTACCGAATTGTTATAAATTTTTAGTCACTAAAATATTTACATTTAGATTTACTAGCGCATATAGAAATTTTGACACCGCTGTCGCCTCAAGTGTATAGGTCCAGGTCCAGTGTCAATGTCTGGAGTGACGAGTGTCGAGTGTCGAGTGTCAAGTGTCATGTGTCTGGCAGGAGTGCGGTGCGTGTTCGAGGGCGTGTCGGAGTGCGGTGTGGTGCACGGAGCGCTGTATTGGTGCTTACGCGGCGTGTTCGCGCTCTCTGTCAGCGCTGTGCTCGTCTGCATCTTCAGCTGCATGCTGGCCTACCAGCTGCTCAGGTAAGGAACAGTGCACATCATGGCATCGAACTTCATACAGGTCACCGTGGATCCAAGTTGAATCAAAACAAACTCAAATTCAAAATATCTTTATTCAAATAGACGCTTGGTCGTTCTTACGAAACGTCGAGTTTTACATTAGGTTCGTAAGTTACCACTTATTTTGAATTGGAAGCCGCTTATGATGCATGTACAGTATTATTTATTATTCATTGCAATTTGTATCCAAGCTTCTTTTCTCATTGTACAACAATTACGAATTGGTTAGTGAGTAGAATAAAGTTAGAACACGCCTTTTTTTAACTAAGGTTACTGTTACCTCGCAGCGGCTACTGTTATTGTGTAAGATTTGTGAAAAAAAGTTGCTATTTTTCGTCAATAGCGGTATGCATGAGGTTTAAAATTTGTTTGTACGAAAGATTTGAATTTGAGAATAATGTAGTCTACGGTCAAAACTGTGTTTTTTTTATATAGGAATTCATAATCAGTAAGTCCAATGGATATGCAAGGGCATGTGATAAATAGTAGATATTATGTTTTCAGTCCAGAGACACAATAAAAGTATAAAAGCGAGTTACAACGTGTTTCATATACCCTCAAGTGCAGAATAAGAGTCGTTTCCACACATTTTAGTTCATATGTTGTTTAATAGAATGAACTTGTAATTTTCTTTCTAATTAAGTGACCTATGAGACCATAGAGTGTTTCCCTACATCCAAACGGCATAAAAATGAGAAACGAATAACATAAGCTGTACACTGCGTATAATTTAATTTAATTTAATTTAGCCTATATAAAAAAAATAATAAAACAAGACAAACATTGTAAATTAGGCATCCATAGTCATAATATTCATTTTCTTATGTTGTGACGACAGTGCGATTTGTAATATACGCAGTCTGTTCTGTAGCAGTTTCACGCTGTTCTTTAAATCGGTTACCTCTGCCTTCACATATACATAATCCATTATGTCGGGAACTTCGTAGTCCATTCGCAATTTTCTTATATCCTCCAATTTCACTTCTAAATTATTCGCTTGCACTTGAATCACTTCCGTTTCTTTGTTCAAACTGACGGTCTGTTTCTGTTTGCTTTTAACATCGTTGATTATTCCCGTTAAATAGATGTTTTGCTCCATTAGCGCTTTTTTGTGTATGCTCAGAGTCAAATTTGCATCACCCGTCATTTTTTTCAACTCCGCCAACTGTTGCAGCTTTTTATCTATAACCGCCAAACACTCATTGTTCTCGATTTTGATTTTTTCAAAGTCGACAGGTCTGAGGCTTTCGCTCAGTTCCGCTTTCATCTTGATCTGACCTTTTAATTTACTGTACTGAGTATTCAAAGTGCTGGTTCTGAGTCTCAGTTTACCGATTTTGCTATCGGTTATTTTGACCCACTCGTTCATGTATCTGATCCAAATTTCGGCGGGGATTCTCTGGGCTATGTTGTCCCAACCGCTGACGATAACTTCTTGGTGGAACGTTTCACTTGACTTCTGGATATGGTCCACTCGGACGTCAATTTCCTCTAACTGTGCCTTCAGCAGAGCGTGTTGTTTGGCCGCTTTCTTGCGCATTGTCTCCAAATTTGACACCATTATCTCCATCTCGTTAGAAACCAGTTCTGATCTCTCCAATACATTAATTCTGGGACCAGTACCGAACACAACTGTCCCTCCAATTTTAGCCGAAGAATCCACACGCTTCGTCGACACCTTAGATGGGCTTACGAGCATTCTGGAAGGGCTCGATAAGGAATCAAAAAATAATTTTGATGTTTGCGATCGGACAAAGCTACCGACTTGAAGCGATGAGTTACTGTGCAATCGAAATGCATATTCTAACGCTTGTTGTATTCCATTCAATAAGGTTGGATCTAATCTCGTCATAACTTTTTCAAATATCTCATTTTCCAAAGTCAGTACACGAATTTGCTGTTTCAAATCGTTGACCTGCTTCACTAATTCTTCGTCAGTTAGCTCTTCTAACTCGTTTGTTATTTGACTCATTGATCCTGACGGCTGGCTAGGTATACTTCTATATACATGTGATTGCGACACCGACATATTTTAGATATAATTATTAAATAACTTTGTAAAAGTATTAAGTGAAAAACTCTAAGGAATATAAATCTTGACACTGCCAACATGACAATTTTGTTTCGACCATATCAAAAGTTTTGTTTTTGGAATATCTTATTATTTACTTTTAAAATAAAGTTTATATTGCATTAAACTTTTCTTTCATTCGGTATATTGGTCGCTGTCAAGGTGTTGTATTTGGTTGCTATGGAAATAACTAACATAGTTTTTACATTGCTTTGTTTCGTTTCTTTGACTGCCTTGGCTTATTACAAATTGATATGTTAGTTTAAAAATATTAAACATTTTATGATATATTTTTAGTGTAATAATATTAATATCGCTCTGGTTAACTACTGCTATAAATATTTCTTAAAACTATGTTTCATATTTGTTTACAAATTTTAAAATTTAATATTTTATTCTCTTACCCGGAAAACGCCAGTTACAATGCTGCAAAAAAAATTTCAAAAAATTATCCACGAGAGCGAGACTAGCTTTAAAAATGAAATAAATCATAGATTTCAATAAATTCAATGATCTAATGCTAACAAACTATAACAACGAAAATGATTAAAGAATAATATAGGTAAAGTGTTAATTGTTTATAAAGTTTAGAGAGTTCAAACCTGATATCAAAATTTAATTTACAATTTGCACGCATTATATTATTATTTGTATTATATTTTCTTTGATTGTCATATCATCGAATGAGTTAGAACAATCCGAGAGTAAACCTGTCACAAGCTAAAGTTGAATATTTAATCTAAGACTTAAGACATGTAGTCATGTAGCATTTTAGTTACGACCCAAATGGCGTAGTGGGTAGTGTACCTGCCTCCTGCGCCATAGGGTGTGGGTGCGAATCCCACTACTAGAAAAATATTGTGTGATGAACATAGTGTTTTTCTAGTGTCTGGGTGTTTAAATATCTATAACATATATTTATTTACAAAAAAAGTATGTTTAAGTATGTTTATCAGTTTTCTAGTACACATAATACAAGCGTTGCTTAGTTTGGGACTAGAAAATGTTGTGTAAAAATGTGTCCTAAAAAAATTATTTATAGAGTACTTTGTTCCAGTCATGAACGGAAAAAAATGTACTGGGAACAGTTGGAGCTGAGATGCAGATCTCTATATCGTCCACCGACTGGACAAGCAGCGCCCCCTGCCGGTAGACCGGTACAGGTAAGGAATTAACACCTTTTAACTATATTTAGTTAAGGATAGTAACGCCCGGTTTCTAAAACACTGATCATTGTATAAATCTAATCAGCTGTCAAATGGATTTTCAAATGTTATTTGAGTTACCAAAAGGATTGTTAAACTGTTTGATTCTTTTTATATGATAACGGACGCCCATGGAAATTTGTAATACCCGTATGGCTGCAGTTGCGTTGCCATCTTTTAATCACTCACCAGAAGAAACGCAGAAGTGTGACACTTCCACTACATGCCGGTCTTTTGTGAGGTCGTGTTACTGCCCCGGGTGGACTTGCCTATTCGCGTAACATTGATGACTGTTGCGTGGTTCTACCATTGTAAGTATAGTTCTAACAAAATTTCATTCATTCATCCTGAATGTTCTTTCATTCGAGTGAAGAGTTTATAGGATTTGGAGGAGAGAAAAACGTGAGTTCAAATACAAAAAATAAAAACCTTCTTTTACAGAATAATTGCAGTTGCTGCGCTCAATGTCACACCGCGCAGCCCGCTTGGGACTTTAGTTTGCAGCATCGGTTTTGGGCACCAGGTGTGTTGTTTAAAACCAAAAATTAAAAAAAAAGAATAGTGGGAGGAGATGGCAAATCTTCAATACTTATACTTTAAAACTACCTTCTATTAGGCTTCGTTATTTCCCCTGATGAGCTCACCCAATATCTTGATTGTACCACATAAAATGTTTGTTGTACCACCTAAAATGTGTTATCGAATATTAACATCGTGTCAAAAAATAACTTTTTTTTAACTGACTTGATTTTTCAATAACACTTTAAACTTTGAACGCTGAACATTTTCTCCTCTTATTTTTATTCTATGTAACTTAGGAAAAGGGATCTTGTGTTTTCAAAATTAGGTATTCTAAACTTATCACTGTAATGCCATAAGAAAAGGCAACAGATCGTTGTTTAGTTGTTCACATTACATTAAATATTTTAATTATTATAATACAGGTCGTATTGGCAATCTGTATTCTCCAAATCCCAGCGCTGGAAGGAAAACATCACCATGGAGCTGGTTCCCTTGGCCCAGGAGTAACAGTCAAAAGTGAGTCGATTTAGTAAAAACTCAATATATTATCCCCTACTCCGCAATACAATATGATTAGTTTCATTTGTGATTTCTATATTTGTATCATACACGTATACATCTTCGTATCTAGTGATATCGAAATTAAATGATTCATTAATGTTAAATTTTCTTCGATTTCAAAGTTTACATGAGCGTAAATGATATACATATAAATTACTGAGATTGAGAAATAATTTATAGAGGTGTATTTATTGGAAAATTCCAACTGTGAAAGCCATAAAGAAGAGAAATGACACTTTTAAAAATATTATTCAAATAATAAATAGGCCAATTAAAACAAAACGCGTGTATGTCCTCATGTGCGCACGTAAGAAGTTAAGTCTTCAGTGAAAAGAAAAATAACTAAAAATGTTATCCATATGCCAGTACTCTTTATTTGTGAAAGAAAATACATTAAAAGGATTTGATAAAGATTTAATTAGACAACTTGGAATTATAGGCAAATATCAAAAAGTTGTTATTTATTGCCGTGGTAACGCTATGAAAATGATGTCGCTTGTAGGTGTCGCACATCGTAGAAATTCACTCTTTTACATTCATCACTTTTCTCAAGTGTGTCAAGACAAGTATGAATTTAAAATGGGAGAGTAAATTTTAAATTCTCAAAAAGGGAGTATTAAAAGTATTGGTGGAGGAAATGGCATCTTAACCACACACTCACCCATACTAATGTCTAAGTATTAAAAGTTGTACGTTTTTTACTGCCGTAATTAAATTACTTAGCTACATAATGTAAATCCAACTTGGCTTTGATTTCAGTAAGTAAGATGTAGTATGATATGTTTAACAAAGTGCTGTGGATTTTGTTTCAAAATTGAGTTCACCTTACAGTTCCCGGTGTCGTATGGGCGGGGTCCCGCAGTCGGGCGACAGCGCATACGGTTTCTGCGAGACCGACCCGACCCCACAAAGCGCCGCGCAGCCGTACGACGAGCGCTCCTACCCCGCAAACTTCAGCCAGCCGTTCCAGCGCGGCCAGGGCTCCGGCACCTTCCCACAGAACGCCGCCAGCTTCGCGCAGAGCTCGGGGAACTTCGCGCAGAACCCCGCCAACTTCGCGCAGAGCTCAGGGAACTTCGCGCAGAACCCCGCCAACTTCGCGCAGAGCTCGGCCAGCTTTCAGGGTCACGGAAATTTCAGCCAGCCGGGCTTCACCCAGGGCTACCAAGAGGGCTTTGGGGAGGCCAGCGGTAGTTTTGACGCCCAAACCGGCGTTTGGGGACCACCGCCGCCTTACAGCCCACAAGGAAGGAGTGGTAGTAGGTTCGTATATTATTATTACAAAATTTATTTCGACTACTTCGACTGAAAAGAATATTCTTACACAAGGCAATGTTCAAATTCAAATTTTGTTGTTTCTAGTAAATTATCTGTGGGTATCAACAACAGTTAACGGAATCTGTCCCGCGGTTTGCTCAGAATTTGAATTATAATCAATACCTGTACAAATTCGTATCTACGATACAATAAGCACCCGTCAAACGACCTAACGATAAGGTTACAATGAAACTACTGAGTTTTCCAAGCATTTAAAAAAATATTTTTAATATGTAAAGCATGAATATGTTATCAATTTTTTAGGCATCATCTTCACCATCAAGATCCTGCGGCTGCTACGCTACTCCATCATCACCACATTGATGTTCATCGGAACTCTATGCCCGTACATGAACATGCTAACTTGCCAATGCAACCTCATACATGCACTCGAAGTTCCTATCTGATGCACGCGAATGTCCAGATGAACCCCGATGTTGCCCGCATGAATCCGGAAATAAGCAGATTGAATCCGGAAATAAGTCGATTAAACCCGGAAATAGGCCGATTGAATCCAGAACTGAGTCGTTTGAACCCGGAAATTGGCCGTATGAACCCCGAATTGAGCCACATGAACCAAATGTATCCAACGGATCCAAACGAAATAGCTCGATTGCAGGCTGAAATGGCTCATCTGGGCCCGGAAAGATTTAATACATTGCGAGGTCATTTGGTTCCGTACAGAGCTTGCCCGAGATCTTTGGGAATGAGTGCGGGAAATCTGCATAGGGATTGTCGGGTAGATGACAATGTTGCCATAGAATGTTTACATCAGAAGAGCGCTAGCAAAGGTATGAAAAAGCTCAGTCAATAATAGATAAAATTATACTTTTTGTATTGCTATTTTATATATATAATAAATAAAAGTTATTAAATGCTTTGTTTTCACAACGGCTGTTCCGTTATTAGTGATACAAAGAAGATGAAGTCTCTAGCGAATTGTTTTTCCCTTGTTTAGTATCTGATCAAAGCGGCGACTCCTGTCAGAAGCAAGGCAAGGAGAATCTAGGCTTTCAAAATGACAAACATTCTCCAATGAGGTTTGTATAACCATTCAAAGGTTTTTCTCTTTGTTATGTATGATTTAACATATAGATAGCTAATTGATATTTTTATTAAATGTACATAAATAGCATCATTGTCTCGGCCTGTTTGGGTCCACTGCTGAACATAAGTCCAAACACTAGCTATTCCTAAAATTATACTAAGATTATTGCTAAAATCGTATGTAATTTTCATTACTCCGTGGCGCAGTTGCTAAAGTATTGTCTACAACGTCCGGGGTCGTGGGTTCGATTCCCACAGGGGACAGCTATTTGTGTGACCGACAGAAAGCTGTTTCGCATTTGGGTGTTTGTCCACGTGAAATTTATGTTTGTAAAAAGTCTTCGCAACACAGCATTATGTTATCCTAAAGTAAGGAGAATTTTTTTATTATATATGTCAGATTTTATCAATTGGAGACAATAACGTGTTGATTTGCAGATCTTCAATGCAAGACTGCCGCGGGACAAATCAAAATGCAGAATCCGAAGTGTATTTCGCTGACGTGTCTAGCTGCTGTAATGTATCAGTAAAGGTGTGTACTCTCTAGACGATTCAGATTTATCATCATTAAGTGTATATACATCATTAAATGTATGTAATGTGATTATTTTATATCCGTACAAATGAATACAATAGAAGTGTTTTTTTTGCAAAATAATAATCAACATAATAATTTTTCCTAGCGTGTCTAGGGCTAATCTTCGAAACAACTTAGTCGATTATAACGGTTATTCTACTAGCTGATAGCTCGTGTTATAAGTAACATGAACTTTCTCTCTCAGTATAGTAGTAGTAGGTAGTAAATATTTATCCTAGAAAAAATGTTAGGGATTCGCGCAAAATCAAAATAAAGCTCATGGAACTGTAAATGAAATCTGGTTCCATTCGATTTTTTGTAAATTAGCAAAAAATAATTTGGAGCCCACAGCAATAAAAATGTTTTCTTCTTCCTAGTCTGTCATTTCATAATCATAGGTGATATAATATACAGGGAGGCTTTTATATGTGTATCCATTTTTTTTTATTAAATTTTAGACATATATAATGTTATATAGAAAATGATAAATATTTAAAATCACTCGTAATTAATTAATTACATTCATTTGAACTTAACTCAAAAAGTGAGTGTTCTATGGGCAACTCATTTATTTTACGTGTGATCATTCATATCTATCAGGCATACAAGTTCGTTTTAAAAGTATACGACGCATTTAAAAAGTGACTACTGCATTGTCAAACAGTTCTAGTTTTTAGGGAATAGAATTGCAAGTTTTTTTGGAAAAGAAAGTTTGTTTTCATTTCCATAAACGATTATACTACCGGTACCGAGTCTGAACTTCGGTGTGAATTTGGAAATTTTTTATTTTGAATTTTTGAATTTTTCCTTTAGAAAAGCTACTCTGTATATTAGATCACGCAATGACGCAATTTAAATCGTTTATACGCTATTAAAATAGGTGTAACTATAAAAATATTTCTTTCATGAATTATGTGATTTAAACTATAATTAATTTTTTTGATAATTGATAGACATAGATTTAACACAGATTAAACCATGGGCGGTGGTGAGTTCCGAATGTATATAGGTCTTGTACAAACTAAAACTAACCTTGGTTTTATAAATTAGTCTTACGGTATCCATTGGAAAATGTAGGGAGTATAAACGAAATATCTTATTTATAATAATTGACGTCTTAGCATTTAAATCGTTGTAATAGTCGAGTTGCCAACCTTTTAAAACAAATGAGCCCTCGGTTAACTCTCTCAACAAAATACACCAAACGAAACAATAAAGTATAACACTGTTACTTCCTGCCGGGTTCTGTGGTACTTCAGAATTGCTATAGCAGAAGCCGCTGCTACAGTTTATTATTATTCATGCTCATTTTATTTTGTATGTATATTGTAGACAGTAATAAAACTTTAACGTGTTATTTTATTCTTCGACAGGCGGACTGTTGCATCAATCCTAACGTCTCCGCGTTGGTCGGGACCATAGAGAATCATCCGGAATCTACATCGGAATCGGATACTGGGTCTTTTACACTTACACGACAACAGCGTCCCCAGCCGCAAGTGGGATCCAAGCGGCGACCGAGACAAGCCGACAAGCATATTAAAAATCAAGAAAAATTACGTCAAGACCTGAACAGCTCGCTCAGATTGACAGAACAACAAATCGAACATTTAAACAGCTCGATGAGGATGAGCGATCGTATGTGTGACCGAATGAATGATTCTAGAGTCAGTGATAGAATGAACGACTCCAGAATAAGTGATAGATTGAACGATTCACGGGTCAGCGAGAGGATGAATGATGCTAGAATGAGTGAGCGGATGAACGACTCTAGAGATCGTTTAAATGATCCTAGAATCGAAAGAGAGCGTCTCAATGATTCACGAGTCGATCGAATGAACGAGTCACGGGACCGTTTGAATGATTCACGAATTGAACGCATTGAATCTAGAGACCGTCTAAACGATTCAAGAGTCGATCGAATGGATTCGAGAGATCGTTTGAACGATTCGCGAATCGATAGAATGAACGAAGGTAGAATTGATGACCGTAGGATGTCAGATCTAAACGCCAGCATACGTATAGAAGGCAGCCCTAAAATGCGCGCACACATAAGCCCCCTGCGTATGCCTAGAACTAGTCCTAAGAATTTGCCCAAGGAACACCCCAGGCAGTCTAGTTCAGACTCTAGTAAACCGGAGTTCTTCGCTCCCCCGCCTCCAGCACACTCGCCTTTATCGCCTAACACAGAGGAGTCACTTTTGTCTGACGACGATGATGGGAGGAAAGATACAGTGTACTCGAACGAACCGGAAACATCGAAATGTTTGGGACCAGACTCTCAGTACGAACCGGTTAGAGACGCAAAAGAGGAAATACTGAAGACGAATCATCACCATTGCTATAGCGACACCAACACGATGGATTCGGGATGGCAAAGTGGATCAGAGAAACAAGTGACAGACTAAAAATATTATTTCTAAAGTTCCTTCTATACTAAATACTGATGGTATTTTTTTTATTGCATAAAAAGTTCAGGATCCTCTTCTATCACTGTTTACATTCCTGTTCTAAGTATTCTAGTTTGGCTAAATATAGTGTTTTTCATTTGAAATAAAATGGGAAAATGTTTCATTGTATAGAAACTCTAAATACAAAGCAATTTAAATGTAATAGATTTTAGTAAAAAGCACACGTTCCATGAATTTAGAATATTTCACACATAAAGTGTTCAAATCCAAACCAAAAGAGGGTATAAATAATGTTTAAAAGTTCCTTTTTTGGAGCCGTTTCAAATAAGTGTAATTATAAAATATAGATGCGTAACTATGATCGAACTTTGTTTTTTTGTATGTACTAAACATAAGTTGACAATAATATTACAATTTTGCCCACACTTGTACATATGCTTGTACATGTTCTGATTCTCGACTCTTATTATTTTCAACAGAAAAAAAATACTTTCAAGGTCACAAAATATTTTTCATACAGTAAATCTTCATTTCGCAGAACTATGCCATCCGAATAATTACTCATTGATAGGAATACGAAAATTTTCTCTGTTTATAAGGTTCAATATTTGTATAATGAGGATTATTATAAAACTATATTGTCGGTTAAATTTAAGCAAATAAATTTTTTATTGCACTTCACTATTAGTTTAGTGAGAAAACGCACAGAAGAAAGAAGCGTGGGTGTAAATATTTCTAATTTACACTGTGATCTTTAGCTTAAATTGGAGAGAAAAAATATTCTCCGTACTACATTTTTTGTCACTATAAATAAATTTTTAGTTACAAAGTCTAACTAAAGTTTAAAAAATATATTAACGCCAGGGATTATATTTCGACTTTAATGTTTTAGGTAGTCCTTGTTTCTTTTTACAATTTTAGTGTGTAATTTTGGCTATTCAAATTTTGTTTGTAGCATTTCGTTACCTGTTTATTTTATTGATAATGTTATAGGGTAAGTATTTAAGTAACTTTTTACTGTTGTATACATTATAAAACTTGCCATTATGATGTTAACGTATAATTATCGTGCCAAGTAGTGACTTCCTAGACTATTCTATTAAGATGACCAAACTTTTGTTTTTAATAATTTGTCATCTTGTCTATTTTTTATTTTCACAATGATGTGAAAGTGAAGTAGAACGATATACAGTAAACTCGTAGATATGTATAAAACATTATATTTTTGACCTCTATATTATTATTTCTATCTATTATATTTTTTTTGAAATATTGGAAAGTCTTCTTTCTGTGGGAGAAGTTTTACTATCCCTTGTTCGACTTTTATATTGTACTATTACGAAAACTCACCTACCGTATTTTGTAAGCATTTCATTTATCGCAACTTGAATTTCTTCTCATTTCTCTTTAAATAATTCGTAGTACCACATTTTATTAAAAAGTATTGTTAAAAGTTAAACGTATTAAACTTGGATAGCGCTAAACATTATTAATGCTGTTATTGTTTTCGCGGCCACCTTAAAATATCCGATTTTATTCTGAAACTAACAAAATGGATAATGTTTATCAAAGCTAACTACATTTATTTTCGTATCAATCATCATAATTTCAAATTTATGAAAGAAGTTTATTACTACAAGCGATAAAGAAATATAATGTGTCATGGTTACATAAATTGATTTTTGTTTATACTAATAGAACTTGTAATGTGAAGAATGAAGAGAAAAAAGATGCTATATCTTAAAAAATATATTTGTTAATATACAATGGCATATTATCATTGATTTTGGAAAGTACAAACTGATGTTTATGTGGGTTTCTTGAGAACAATGAGTAAATTATGAAGGAATTTTTAATATTGCATAATCATATTTTATATGTGTTATGCATCAGTATAATTATTTGACTGTATTTCTCGCGAGATCGAAATAATATGTATATTATTAACAGATTTTAATGTCTTGCAATAACGGTATTTGCATTTTGTAAAGTCCTGTTATCTATACTTTTGAACTTCATTAATTTTAAGTTATTTTTAAAAGATTATGTAATTTTTTTTTACACAATTTAACTGTTGCATGAGTATTTCTTGTAACTTATGAAACGAACTTGTAGCAATAAATCTTTTTTATACATGATCTATATTTGTCAACGTAAAGTTAGAAATGTCTTGTGATGTATACTTTTTTTGACAATATTATAATGATTATTTCCTTGATTAGTACGTATTAATGTTAGATTGATCAGTTACAATGATTCTATTAAAAGACTGAAATCTTACGAATTGTTTCTTTTTTCTTAATTATGGTTGAATGTTAACACACAATTTAAAGTTTTCTTATGTTTATATTGTTTTGTAATCTTTAAGGAAGTAATTACATATCTCCTTACATTCTAGTTAAGTTTGGGAAATATTTCCCTTACGCTTATTGTAAACGGCTGTAAATCTGCAAACGAAAATGTATGACATTTTCAGGGGTCCCTTAATGGTAGGGCCACACAACAATCTTCACTGTTTCACGGATGGGTAGGTCTGTCTGGAGAAGTAACAAAACCTCACAGGAGACCGGCATGAATTGGAAGTATTACACTTCTGCGTTTCGACTAGGGGCCCACGTTGTTAAAGTGTAGCAACGCATTGGCAACCTTACGGGTTTTGCAAATGTCTATGGGCGGCGGTTATCAGATTTCGTCAGGTGAACCCGCCAGCTCGCTTGCCGCTTTGACGGAGCACAAGGCAAGATGCTAATCGCATTAGTGATTTAGATATATGTAGATAAATTGTCGAACGCATACAGACGCTCAACCCACTATGTTTAGCGGCCGTTATCTTCTACTTTGTCTTTAAAGTATGCACGTTTCTACAGGATTTTTTTCCTTCAACCCTGAGCACAAGATAAGTCAGCACGTAAAATTAGCAATTTAATTGGTGACGTCACCGGGGATCGACCTCAGGTTAGCTCTTTGGTAAAAGTATTATAAGAAATGTTTATGGCAGTAAATAAAACAAATTTCTAGCCATAGTTTTAATACATTATTTATTATTACAATACCATTAGCTAATTAAAAAAGGTAAATCCTTATGTTATGGAAAGAATTACTATTAATACGTATTAGGAAGCACCATAAGCAAAATGTTCAAAGAAGCAAAATACAAAGTTAATTGGCAACTGAATATCATGTCATACTGATGTGCGGATAACAGAGTATTATTTAAGTCAAAATACGACATCATTTTATTTTTCCTCATAAGAAATAAGTCATAGTAATAAGCAGATCTAAATTATTCTAATGTACAAGATAAAAGTCTAAATTATGGTATAGTTATCAAGCTTTAAACTGTACTTAAGTGTTTTTACAAAGGGTGTAAATAAGTGCTTTTATGTCGGAAATGGTATCGCAGATTTTGCACATTCATTTCAATTTGTAAAGTGTAGGGAAAATGAGATATTGTTCTTAATCGATACACTCATTTACTTTTAAGACTAGCGGACTTAAATGCGACAGCATTAGTTTCATTATAATTTCATTAATTATTAATTAGGCACTATACGTTACGGTATTCTTAACTACAATTAAAATCACTTTCGCTTATATCTACGTCATTTTTATTATATTCATCAGTTGGTAAAAAGGGCGGCAGTAGGTTCCTTAGCGTATATAAATTTAGGACATAAAAATTATGTAGTTTTGTTCTAAGAAGTCTCAGAATTCAAAGAGATGATTTGTCATTAAAATTTTCTCCGAACAGCTTTTTAAAATTTATACCAATACTGCAATTCAATACTAAAATATAAATTTTATTCTATTCTCGTTATGAAAGTTCACTTTAGATATTTGTAACCGATTGTATTTCTTAAAGTGAAACATCAGATATAATTTTAAACCAAGCGCAGTCGAAATACATCACACAGAAAAAACATTCACAGTGTTAATTTCTTGTATTTACGCGATTATACATTATAAATGAAACTAATTTTCCGGATTCCTCGCTGATGATTTTATAATTTATCATGAACGCTGTAAAGGGTTCGAAACGTCGGGAATTAAAATTAAAAATAAAGGCGATAAATCTGTAAAATTTGTTTCATTTATAATTCACAGCGTTGTTTATTTACATTTATTTGTGGTAAACGGACTATAGACCTTCATTTTAGTAAAATAATGGTATTGTAAAACTAATGAGGAGTAGCAGCCAACTGTAGCTGTTCACTAAGACGTTGGAGCTGTTGTGTTCTTGTGTGTGCAAAACCAGTCTGTTGTCCTGTGTGTGTTCCGCGACGGTGGCCGGTGTGCCGTCGACGTCGCCCAACCTCTGGTTTGCAACTTTCAGATTCTTCAACAACGAGAGGAATTCTGGAATTTAACGTTTATAAGATATATTCAAGCGTGTTCCTTTTACGTTCGAACTGCTCCTTGAGACAAATTAGTTTTCCTCTTTTTGTTATCACAAGGGACAACGGTTTTACATATTACAAACAAAGTTACAAATAATTATGGTAAAGCTATCTTAATAATTTCTATATTTCCACTTTCATGCCTAAAATGATTGTAATAATACAAAATGTTTTTATTGCACATAATTAGGTATATAGTTTTTGTTTTTTTTTTGTGTTTATATATATTTTTCAAAGAACGACTGGGTTTGTAGGAAATAATTCCTGGATCATTGGCGATCAGGTTCTTTTCGCCGGACTTACACTTTCTGAACGTTGTAACTGCCATAAACGCATGCCATACGGTCAAGAAATTAAATATCAATACAAAGGGTGCGAAAATGTTAATAATACAAATCGCATTCGATGCGATTTATTGATAAACTGAGTATAACATTTTTTGACCATCCCTAATCATCCTACTTACGTCATCAATTTTCTTTACGGAAACAGCCGTCAGATAATTTCCGTACGTAACGTCAAGTGAACCACAAAAGGAAAGAAGAAGAAGAAGAACATCAAGTGAAAACTTTATTATTTTCCCTGTGACTGAAGTTATTATTTATGGTCCTGTTGACTGAAGACACAAACGCCATGCGTTAATGAAACATATATTATTAAAGTTAAATTAATATACCTGAATCCTTAGCGGCGTTTGGGTCAGTCCAATCCACTTTGATGAAGGTAGTTAAGGACACTTCGTACACCTTGTTGGAATCGGCGCTGGAGGCGGCGGAACGCCGTTTCCTACCGTATCCCACAGCTCCATTACTGCATTGAACCTGAGAGAGAAGGACATCCTTACTAATATTATAAATGCGAAAGTTTGTATGGATGGATGTTTGTTACTCCTTCACGCAAAAACTATTGAATGGATTTTAATGAATCTTTGCAATAATATAGCTAATACATCAGAATAAGATATAGGCTATAATTTATATATATATTTTACTAGCTGTTAGTTGATAAGCCGGAAAGCGCTTGAACAGTCACATACGAATTTCAAGTAAAATGCTGATCTTTACTAAATGAACTAAACGCCTCCACAGTTATTAGTGTGTACTATGTTCATCGCAATATTCTTCCGGTAGTGGGGATCGAACCCACACTCTGAGGCGCAACTGACCGGTGCACTATCTACTACGCCACTCGGGTCATCAATGACAAGACTAAAGTGTTTTTCATTCTACGATTTTAGATACATACTTTTTGGTTTTTGGGTATCAGTAAAACGATACTAACCTTATTTTGGCGTGATAGTTTGTTGTGTTATTAACTTGAAAATGAGACAAATAAGGCATAAAGAATAGATCCGTAATAGCTCATTGCCCGGGAGCTCGATTTTAATCCAATATACTCGAGCAACCTGAGTTCGATCCCCGGTAGCGGCACCAATGTAATTGTTCATAATAAGTGTTCATTTATCACGTGAGGAAACCTGAATATTTTTCAAAATAATGACAAAAAATATTCCGAAGATATCACATATCTTTCGAAGATATCATCCGTCAATCCGCAGTGTGGCCGCGTGGTGAACTATGTATGCCCTAATACCCTTTGTATAGAGGCCTTTGTCCAGCAGTGGGACATACATGGGCTTTTATTTTAGTTTTTTTTATCATTTTAAAGCATAAACACGAATCTTATTCACTATGTTGTGTTTTTTTATTCCTACATTATTTTCAACTTTGAGTTTTATCTATACGGAAGTCTTTTAACGCTTTGTAAGTGGGATAAAGAGGCGCTTACCCCTTGGCATTTGTCAAGGCAAACCGTCACCGTACCACGGAACTGCACGTAGGTGGTGTCTGGAAACTTGAATGCCTTGAACTTCGCGGCGAGCACGTCACCGTCCGTCGTGACGAAGTTGTCGAAGAGGTAAGGGTCCACAGAGCAACTGGAATGGTCATTTTCCAATGTGGAATTTTCTTTAGTGATAATGCGGCAAGTGAGCTGGCGGTTCATCTGATGGTGAGTGACAACCGTCGGCCAGGATATCCGTCACACCCTGTTTGTAGTGTTGCCACCTTTTAAAAAAGTGGGCCCCGGTTGCCTCATTCACCGGATGAAACTCAGAAGCATAACACTTCTACTTCACGCTGGTCTTCTGTGAGGTCGTGTTGGTTCCCCGGATGGACCTGCTCATTCGAGCATTTTGTTTATGCGCGGTTTTCACACCTGTGGTTTTTACATTTAAAATAGTTATTGTTAGAGCATAGGTACGCTACTTACTACGTTTTAATTCAGTGCCCAAATTCTCCTAAAATCCATTCAGATTCAAAAAAGAAACCACCCTTTTGTTATTATTATGCTAATGTTTTATATAATATTAGGTGAAAAGATTCACCTAATATTATATAAAATGCTTAACTTCCAAACGACTGACTGATTAGAACCGTATACACAAATATATTTCTAAATGAAAATATGTTTACGGATTTATCGCGTTAGTTTTTTTTTTAATTCCCGACGTTTCGAACCCTTTACATCGTTCTTGGTCAGTCTGTCCCGTGACCATGGGGTCCGAAACGAAACGTTAATACAAGAAATTACAAATATATTTGTTTTGCCAAGTCGACGAGTCATAACAATAGCTTCAGTCCTAGAAGAAGAGACCTACTAGAAGGCCAAAAACGTATATTAAAAGACAATTAACACCCCCCTTACTATTAGATATGATTGCTCCTTGTTGTATTTATGTTTGACATATACAAATTTCAAACAAAAGGACTTACCAGATCTACAACTACTAACTGAGTGTCACCCAAACTCTTGTAACGCGTGGGAATCGAACCCACGGCGCGCCACACTGAAGTCGAAAGCTTTGCAACAGCGTTAGCCGACCAATAAATTTATTTAGAAGAAAGGAGCCTAATAACTTAAAACTTCTGGGTATTACTTATACCTATTTTACACCTCTACAGATTATATCTCTATATTTATTGTGACGTGGAGAATATAATGTAATATTTTTTAATACATTCAGTTATTTTAAATTCATTACAAAATTATTTAAATATAAAAAGTGTGGTTCTCTGAATTTTACTATACTTTTTTAAATCATCTTCGATAACTTTCGAGTTAGTTATACCGAAGCAGGGAGGTTAAACTGATTCCAAAGTTTTTAAGTAGGTATAATCAAAATTATTATTGCTTACGACGAGTTTGGAACTATTGACGTTAGGTTGATTTTAATGTTGTAGCTTACCCATTAAAAACAATGGTTTCCTGCTGCTTTCCGGTGTCGGTGACGTGCATATAGCTGACGAGTAATCCGTATACGGGAGCTGACGCGTTGTCCAGGAAAATTTCCATAGACAGCGGTGTCCCCGGGCTCACGGATATCTCGCCCGAAACTCTGCGGACGTTTCAAATATCTTGTATAATAACATAATAGTTAGTTAAGATGTAAAAGGTCGCTTGTGCCCTGATGTAGAGAGGGACCACGTGAGATTTCTATACAATCCAATCGTCAGTTGTTGTAACTATGTTATAAGTTGTGTTATACTCAATTTAAAAATTTTATGCATTAAAATATGTTCCACACTAACGACGTGTAAGAGTTGCGTCAAATTGTAATATTTCCACAGCCGCGAATTTCTTTTTCCTATATAAATGTGAATCGTTGAATTTTTATTTCGAAATAAGGTATGATTATTTACTGAGTAAGATTTATTGAGAATTTTCGGCACATTATTTTCGGTTTTAATAGATATCAAATCAATATTTTCTTGAATTCTTTAATAAATTCACTTACTGTTTTCCGTTTTGTTTCACAACAGCTCCTAAAACTGGCTCAGGAGCACGACCTTCCTCGTATCGTGTGATATTCAGAACGCTGAAATGAAAAACGTGAACAATCATAATACTATTGTGTTTTTTACGTGTGAAAAAATTCTCATGACAAGAAACAATTCGCATTAAATCACATCGTTCGAGCAAGTCAACTTTATTTTTGTTTCTAAAACAACCGAATTAGTTTCTTTGTTCTTTGTCTTATTCCGATGTTTTCGCTGTCAATAGTTAGGAGATGATTCATACTATAGATGATCTCGACGAACAGAGCGCTGTTAAGAGTGATACGAAGAAGAGGAACTGTGGTAGGGCTACGCAACAGTCTTCGCTGTTGCACGAAGGGCGGGTTCGTCGGGGTAAGTACCACGACCTCACAGAAGACCGGCGAAGGGAAGCGTTATACCCGCGTTTCGACTGGTGAGTAAGGTAGCCCGAGACCACACCGATCGCATCTGGAGCTCTACGGGAGTTGCAAATGTTCATGGGCGGCGGTTACACATACTATTCGTTATATACGTATTGTATGTATGCTTAGTGATGCTATGACTAGATAAATACATGAACAAATAGGTAAAGGTAATGCATGAGTAGGTAACATCGAATCTATTTCAAATAACGGTATGTATGTATGATCTGTTTTATATTAGACTGCTTTAGGTTTAATATCAGAGTTAGTAATATATTCAGATATTCAAATATATGAATACTGACTCCATTACGAAATAACATATGAGAGTATTATATTCAGATATTCGAATATATATAATGGACACGTCTCAAACACATATACGTTTACAATACTTACTCAGGTTCGTCGAAATCCAAGGGAAAAGGTTCGACGGCCCGCCTTGACACCAAATGCGGTTTCCCTGTCACCATACACCTGACAGTTACAGTCTCGCGGCCACCGTCCACGAGTTCAATCGTAATTTTGTGGTAAAATGTGCGTTTGCCCTGAAAATGATTAAATCGTTAGAATATGTTGCGTTGGTTTATTTTCTTTCAACTCACTACTAATAATTTAAAAACTAAAAAAACCCGACTGCGTTTCAGTGTATTTTTTTTTATTTTGATATACCCAGTGTCACTCTCAAGGTAAATAAGAATGTAACGACACCTCTCAGGCTAAAATCCATCAAGCCGTTCAGGCTGCAGAGCGTGTCAAACAATTATACATACATACTTTCGAAAAACATAACCCTCCTTCTGGCGCAGTCGGGTAAAAGGAGCAGACGTTCTAAATTCCGTTGCTTTTTTGTTTGTTACCTAAGAACTCTGTCATTTATGAAGCGCCTGAAAATTCTTTTTGCATTGGATTCAGCTCCCATTTGGTACCAATAATATTGCTTTTGGGTCTTGGATTCTGGAGATGCTCGAGGGAATACCTCAAAATCAAGTAGAGAATGTATAGTGAGTGAGATATTTAAAGTAGCCTTTGTTTTTTTTTTTCTAAAAATGTTTTATGTGAAACCTTTTCAAAAGAGTAGGCGGTTAAGTTTCATGTTAAGTGATTACCGTGGACATCTGCAATACCTGAGGGCTTGCAGATGCGTTGACCTTAAAAACAGTGGGCACTGGTTACGTCACTCAAAAGGGGAAAGGTGAAAGTATTATACTTCCACTCCTCGCTGGTGAGGCCTTGATACTTCCCCGGAGGAGGCTGCCCATGCTTGCAACAGCGTCGTGTGGCCCTGCCACGGTATGGTTCTCCATTTCATACCGAGCCAACGATTTCATGTTTAATATGGTTTCATCATGTTTCATCATGTTTCGTTTTTAACTTTTTTATACTTTTTTGTTAACTTTCGTTGAAACAGTAATTCTAAAAGGCGAACAAACTGCATAATCGTAATTCCCTAAGTATATATTCCCTATAGGTACCTGAGTCTAGAATTTTAGACTATGGAAAGCTTTGAGTTCGTCGTGGTGGTTTATTTTTATGTATTTCGTATCTTTTTGCAACTTACCGTAATTGTATTGAAAACTCTGGTCACGCCACATTTATGAGGGTCCTGTAAGTCCAGTACGAAGGTAGCTGCATTGTTTTCGATGTTGGGCAAACACGGCTTATAATCTGTTGAATTGTACATGTAACGTTATATCCAAAACATTTGCAAGGGTTAATAAGGATTATTGGTAATGCTAATGTAACGCTCTGCGATGACATCGGCCTGTGTATCGGACTGTTAGTGCTTCGTGCGACAGAGATAAGTCTCTACGGAGCCGAAATTAGCAGTTTTCTCTTTCCAAAGGCCGAAGTGCAACATTTATCGCCAAGTATAATAATTCCTTTGAATTTACTTAATTTGTAGATGAATTAACTTTCAGTGGTGGTGAGTTTATAAGTAAAATGTGAACTTATTTTTTTTCCACATATAAAACTTAATAAATTAACGCCTAGTCGTTAATTGATTTTATTTTTTAACCGACTTCAAAAAAGAAGGAGGTTTCTCAATTGGATGATAAGGAAACCCACATCTGATGTTAGCATCCCAGAGAAATTGAGGGCAATCCTCAAAGATTATAGTTTTTAACAATGCTATTTAGTTTTCGTTTGATGTCGGTTTTTTTGGTAAAAATTATTTGCTTCGCCTGTCTCAGTTCACAAAACTCTATGACTACAATAATGGTTTTAAGAAACCATTGTGCAATTCGTATTTAGGGTTAAACTACTTAAAAACTGGTACTTAAAAGATGGTACTCGTTAAAAATCCGACGCTCAAAAATTAAACGAGCATCTATTCTTTTCAATTTGGTTTACCTACTGAATGCGTTTCAAACAATCGTAAATTATCAATAGATGCTTTTGAATTTTACTGTTCTGTTTGTGGTGCTTGTTGCAAATGGAAGCCGGCTTCGCCTTCCCAATGTAAAGGCTCGATATTGTTTAAGTTCGATATATGGCGTGACACGCCGTCCGTTCCGCTGCAGGGTATAAATCTAAATTCGTTATTGTTATATGACGCTTTCATACGCCCATAAATCCTTCCACCCCGTTCCCACGACACGGCGATTCCTTCTTTCGATTCCGAAACATTTATGTGATATTTATATGCGTGCGCGAGGCCCTATTGATGTGTCAATTCACAATTCAGAATACACACGAGGGGAAAATTTATGACACGTCCATACGGCAGTATTATCGGGTCAATAGATTTCTGTCTTTCCCGGCGAAACGTACGGCCGCAATGAATCGATAAAAGCACTCACTCATCTACTACAGAGCAGACTCAAAGAATATCAGATACACGAATGAAAATTATTTTTCCTAACGTGTTTACCCAGCAAGACTATGTCAAGATTAGGTCACTTTTCTATAATATAATGAAATTTCGTATATCGTGTGCGCTGTAAAGCTTTCGAAATCTTTGAAACTTTAAAAATAAATAAACCTGTTGTCACATTTTGTTGGTATACTGTAGACTCATATAGTACTCGTTTTGAACTTGTATAAAAAATTGCCAGTATCTTATATCAAACATTTTTAATAACTCCATTAATAGTAGTAATAATTTATTAAAATCTTCACATATTTTAGTAAACGAAGTCTTTATTGAAATTCATAATAAAAACTATAAATTACATAACTTGAAATATATACTACACATTTATTTCATTCACTTTACACATATTATGTAAAGGAATTTAATTTACTTTCTGACGTTGTTCTTTTGATCTCCTTTATTAAAATACTTTATAAATTTTGCCCTTTGATAACAAATCCGGGTTTAATTTATCTTACTCAGAGTTTATTAAAGTACAGTGAAATATACTCCAAGATTCATTTCTCGAGTTTATTGTTTCAGTGTCGTTGTTTAGGATTATTTCTTTCAAGATTCATTACTCGAGTTTATTATTTCACTCTCGTTGATAAAGCACTTTCTTTAATAACAAAGTTTTAAGTTCATTTAAATTTGATTCAAGAAGCCACTTTTTCAGATCTTTTTATTATCGAAGTAAACGTTATTATCGATTTGTAGTTGATATCTTTTCTACCCGTTACTATGTGCAAATAGGGCGTGTCGCCTTTTCTGTGTGTTTCGAATTCATGAGGCACACTCGATCAAAGCCCTACTCGGCAAGTAACGTGTTTGAGATAAGAGCGAAACAATAACGTTGCAATGCAACTAGTAAATACGTTTATGTCATTACAATCTTTAGGGCTGATCGAAAACTTATACTACTCAGATATATTGCATAATTTTTCTCGATATTTAACAATAATCGTAAGAGGTTTGTCGTACAAATGTAAAAAAATGTATAATTACAAGAATAAAATGGAAACTAGTGCTATTAATGTATATAGGGGACTTGTTCAGATTTACACAAACTTTGGGTAAAGCACAGATAATTTAAGTTCCTTAAAACCACTCAGTAGCAACATGCAACTAAATCTCGTCACAAAAAAAAAAAAAAAAAGAGGACATTAGCTAAATGCACAGTCGACGGCCTTCGGGGTCTCGGTCTGAACCAGCGACCTCGACGGCCCTTAGATGACACACCATAGTAGTTAAACGCACGCATGAGCACATGCGCGACCCTACCCATAGCGGAGGGTCCAAACCCGTGGGTTCTGGCTAGCCCACCGGTTCTGCGTCCGATGAAGCTTTAATAGTCTCGAGACTGAAAGCAAAAACATCAGTTAATACAAGATACAAGAGTCACAAAAACGAGTCTAAAAAGGGCATGTTGATGATTTGTGTAAAAAAAGATTTGCTATCTTAGATGGCCAGGTCAATGGTGGACGTTGAGATCGACGAAAATTCAGTTTGGGAACTTCAACTTGGAAAACAGGTTCCACACGGCCGCAGGAAACGAGCAGTTCGTTTCTTAACAATATCCAATAACTATTCGAACAGTGGAACGGCAAGCAACGTGTGCGGAGTGTGTGCTGAGGGCAAATATTGAGTGCAAATCGTTACCAGGAATATGTTTTCCGCCCGAAGGCGAGTACGTTTAAGCAAAGTCAATAATTACCTTTGAGGTTGTCGAGATAGGAGATCTTCCTGTTGCCGTCCATTGGAACTGTCACCGCCATTAACTCCGGTGTGCATTGTACGCGTGATTCGGATCCTGGGGACAATTGTTTTTAAGTGATTAAAGGGTGTTCTATTAAATGACGAATCAATGCTGGATAATTTGTTATATTGTTAAATAAAACTATTGTTTTATTTCAATTTCTTCATCCTTTCATCCATGCTATGATAATGATACGATGTAAATAAACACGATACAGTGTAAAAAACAAATAAAACGGGAAATAGTTTTTAATTTACCAACCTGTGGTAATCTTGTGAGTACAGTAATTTATTAAGTATTTAATTTCAATACCAATTAAGTAAGTTTCAAACAACACATTGAATAACAAAACAACATATTGAAAAACAACATAATATGAAACAACATATTGGTCACTAAATAGAAACAAATTTATTCTTAATTTATGATCACTTCTTCTACTTAGGGTGTGCGTGTCACGTTTTAAGTTTGAATTGGCGTACATACGAGTAGCACTTCTTCATATGAATAACCTGTCTTACATATGAGGCCAATGTACGTGACGTACGTACGTTTAGTACAAGTAAAGTTTGTTGAATTAGAATCGTGTCAGCTATCTTATTAAAGGACTTGCGTCTTCATAAAGTTTCTCAGTTACATTGTTATTGTAATATCGTATTAATCATCCTTTGTGTGAGTTCCAAAGATTAAATTAGGAACATATTTATGTAATCAACCTTGTAGATGAAGACAGGCGTGACAACTCAGTGTCCGGGCGCTCGCTAATAATAATTAAATATACTCGATCAAACGGAGTACAAATTCTCATATTCAAACGGGTGAAACTGCAATTTTTACGACTGTGTGATTGTGCCGATTTTTCACGAGCTCATTGATGCAGAAACACATCGTGAGGAAACCTGTATATTTTCTAAATAGGAATAAAAAAAAATCATGATATGTGAAGATATGAGAGGTCTTTGCCCAACAGCGGAACATATACAGGTGACGCGACTATTTACAACGAATTATAAGACAAGCCGGCAAGCTTTACTACTGTGCTCTTTGAGAGAAATAAATGTTATATATGATATCATTATGATCTGGATTTGTTTTTTTTTTATTTTCACATTTTATTAAGTTGTAAAATATATCTTGCAGAATCAATCTCGTAACGGACACGAATTGTTAACGCAAGATTCGGCGCGGTGCATAAATTTGCATACTCGCGTAACAAGTTCTGTCCGCGACCTCAGCGACGATGACGCGGCGAATTACCTCATCTAAATCATTGTGTGCGTGTACCTGATACGTCTTTTGAAATTCGAGATGTATCCATAAACAGACTAAGTTTACACTTAGAGAAGCTAGATAGAGTAAATAGAATTAATATAGTGTTTAATAAGATTTAGCACGTAAGTTGAAAGTAATTTTAATGTTTAAGGGTAGTTTTAAAGGAGTTTTATTTTATCGTTTACTTTTCCCGTAGGTCGCGCTGTATCCGAAAAGAGCTAGGAGATTACGTCTGAAAAAAACAAATATGTTGCGTGAATATGCTGTCGATAATGTATTACATCCGCGACTCGATTATGCAATGCTTTCATTGCATTAAGTAATTTACCAGAGTTTGCGAGAAATTTTTCTTGCTCGTCGATATATATTTGCGATATATTAACTGGCAATGAAATTAGTTCCAAAACTACGCTAATAAATGGAGATTGGTGAGTTAGTCATAGATAACATTAGGTATAGACAGTTATTAGGGCATCTTTAGGTAATTTTTGTGTTAACAATGCCATGGTGTATATCTTGTTCATCTTACTATGATCTGAGAGGGAGTTGGTTTGTTCAGAACCAGGATTCGTCTAACCAACTTTCTTATATAAGTACATACTTAAATCATTACACTTTAAGACTGGCAAAGTTATTATTGCAATAATTTGTACGCCATTTCTTGGAAAGGATATGGGATAATCCGTAATATTTCATTTTTACTACGGACATCGTTGGCAGTGAATTGTTGTTAATTTTGTACTTTACAGTTGGATACAAATTGTCGGAGATTTCTTTATATTTCTGAAATGGCTGATCTCTTATTATGTCTGGTAGAGTTCAATATTACAATATTTTTAGTCAAACTACATGTTTGTGTTACGGAATATCTCTCTCTCTTTCTCTCTCTCTCTCTTTCTGGATCTACAAGTTTTTTATATTTGATTTAGGTTTTGGAGTATTTTTTTATAAGTAGCTTCCTGATACTAAGTGGCGATGCAACCGTAGGTGGTAACCGCAAAATTAGCAAAACCGTTTTTAGTTTTGCTTTGATCAAGAGAATTATTCAAAGGGTCCAAATAAATCAAACACCATGCAAAAATAAAGTTTGGGGAGAAAACTGATTAAAAAGTAGAGTCAATCTTAACTTTTTGTTTAAGCGAGCGTTATTTAAGTTTTGGTATGATAGAATCATATCTGTTCTTACTGTACCGTTGCTAAGTTATTGCTATCCACCATATTTTTACGCAATTAAAGTGCTTAATATTTATTATAGCCATACTAGTATCTAAAAGTAAATCAGAAATGGTGTAGACGCTGGTATATAGTATCTGCGGTCTCGTGGCCTGGATTTGATTCAATGCTGCGGACCTCTTACAAAATATGCATGTGAAAAATCCTCGTGACATTTAGTGTTTGACTGGTTGACATTTAAAATACAAAACTGCGGTAATAAAAAAACAGCTCAGCTCAATTAACTTTGATCCATCAACGACTTCATGTGGTCAGGGCTGCAAAGCATTGTTGTAGTTCCAGAGAGTTTCCCGAAATAATAAGGTGATGTTCACACGCGATGCACCGGCAGAGCGGAACGGACATCGAACCGGCACTGCCCGGACGAACCCGGAAGGTGTGTCCAAGCTTTGCACTTGTGAAGTCCATATTATGTTATTTATGATTTAATCGTTTACTATAGTATAAATTAATTGTTTAAAAATAACATTTTAGTTGGCCAAGGGGTTTGAATGCGTTAGCAAACTGCACATATGTTCAGAATATTTAAAGTTGGGTTGTTTAAATTCATTGAATTAAAAGACCGCGTTCCTAGACATTGTGACACATGCAGCATGAAAGAGCACGCGGAGAAAATAAATAGCTATGCATTGCGACTAGTATTAACTTGTCGGTGGTTAAAATAACTACTTGCAACAGGACGCAAAGTGTAAGTTTACATATAATGATTGTGTAGCTGATATTTGTGGTTAGCGATATCATAGTTTAAAGTCTTCGGTTCGTCAAAAATAACACTTTTTTGACGAAAGCAAGGATTGATAAAGCCGATAAAGTCATCATTAACATAGTAAGTATACACATAGTGTGTTATTCTGATGTATAAGCTATATTATTGTAAAGTTTCATTAACATCCATTTAGTAGTATCTGCGTGAAAGAGAAACAAACATCCATCCATACATACAAACTTTCGCCTTTATAACATTAATAAGGATTATTTATAAAAATTAAATTTTGATTATAAAACAGATGAACGTAGAAATCAAGTGGTCGTTGTTTAGATTACAACTCGCGGTAGTTTCATTTAGAGTCGCAGCGACCACGCTAAGGGGCTAGAATGGAGAAGAAAGAAGAATAATCCTGTCTCCTGTTCCATGAGCGTCCAAAGTGCGAAATATGTCAATTACTTTATATTCGCTATGCAGCAGCTTTCACTGTCACATAGCTGGCTTCTTTGACAAGCACATAGCTTCACCAAACATCAAAGTGAAGTGATGTGAGTTTACGGTGGTAGGGCAACGCAGCAGCCTCGGCTGTTGCACGAATGGGCAGGCCCGTCCGGGTAGGTACCACGACCTCACAGAAGACCGGCGTAAAGTGGAAGTATGACAAATACTTTCGCGTCTCGTCTGGTGAGTGAGGTAGCCGGAGCTTAATTTTCAAAAGGTTGTCAACGCATCTGTAGCCCTCGGGTGTAGCAGATGTCCATGTGCGGCGGTATTCACTTACCATTAGGTGAACCGTCTGCTCGTTTGGCAACTGTTCACATAAAAAAGGGCAACCAGGGCTCATCCCTAATAGGTTGCAACCCCTCTGGTACTGAGAGAACCAACCCGAGAGTCTAAAAAAAATAAAACTCTCGTTTTGGCAGTAACGCCCGGTTTCTAAAACACTGAACATCGTAGAAGTTAACTAATCAGCTGTCAAATGGCTTCAGAATGATCTTCTTAATGATCAAAATCATCAATTCAAAGAGTTTAACGATCCTTTTGGCAACTCAAATAACATTTAAAAAGCCATTTGACAGCTGATTAGTTCTACGATGATCAGTTCAGAAATCGGGCGAAAGTCTTTGGAAAACACAGAGCACCTACAAATAGAGCCGAGGACCGTAACTAGTAAGCTTCTTGAACCGTAAACGCGTGCGCACAAAAACACTTCCGCGGACATACGATGCGCTCTTAATATACGGTGTCGGAGCCAGTCGGATACAGGATGTTGAGAATAATTTGCGTTCATAACTTTTTTTCTCAACAAATTCTTTATGCATTCGAAATGACAGCTTGATTTCACTTTCTATGTCTGTTCGTATTTTCATTGATACGGACAGAAGTAATCGGTTATCAGGTGTAAGGTATTTATGTTAATAAAGCCATGAGTTGATGATAGTTTTGTTTTGTTTCATAAACATTTCTTGAGTGTCGTTATTTTGTTGCTATTTCGTGTAAATTGAAGAGTTAACATTATTTGTTGTGGTGAATCAAATAGTTCATTTTTTTTATGTGATAGTGGCAAAGCGAGCTGGCGGATCACCTGATGTTAAGTGATAACCGCCGCCCATGGACATTTGCAACACCCGTAGACTTGCAGAATCGTTGCCACCTTTAAATAAAGTGGGCCCCGGCTACCTCACTCACCAGACGAAACGCAGAAGTGTAACACTTCTACTTTACGCTGGTATTTTGTGAGGTCGTGGTAATTACCCGAACGGACCTGCCCATTCGTGCAACAATGAACCACATTGCGTGGTCCTACCGCTGTTAGGTCATATATTGAAGTGTTTGACTATTG